GACACCTCCAGAGCTGGGGAGATGGGAGATTGGGCTGTGTGCATTTATATACAGACAGATATTGTTGATTTGTTGCCAATGTAAAATGCTGCTGGTACATTAGAGCTGCTTTTTTATTTTGTGAGGACAGTGCCAGCAAAAAACCCAAGGAAACTTTATAAAACTTATTTGTGGTTATGGTCCTGCATACTGTCCCCCATGTGATACACAAACTATACTGTTAGAAATCACCATGACATATACGGTTGGTCTATGTAAGAATACCAGAAAGTGTCTCTACTATTTTACCTAGTAACTAATACTGTGTTTTTCCTTGTACAGGCGCAGACTGTAGGTGTTTTGTGTTCTGTTGTTGTGTCCTTGGGCAATACGTTTCATCCACATTATCTATTCTAGTCGGAATACTGGATGCAACAAACTGATGCAAACTGGTTGCATCAGGAAGGGTGCCTCACTAAAAGACTGCTGTTGTGGAGTTACTTTGTCAGAGCTGTTCATAGCTGTTGTAGTTCACTCTTGTTTATTTAAACCAAATGGGAACAAAGTAGGATGGTGCAAATAATCAGATTTTAATCGAGACTGAGGTTCAGTCAACAGTAATTTTCAATGATATGCTTGTGTCTTTTCAGTCAAGGGGGCCTATAGCTAACCCCTTCTCTAAGCATGTGGTTTGGAATGGATTTTAGACTTTGGAGGAAGAAATTCATATTTTATTTTTTTATTGAAAGTCTGTCTTGTTGTCTGGTCTTGAAATTAATATTACAAAATAAAATGAAATAGAAAATTGCGAGTGATCAATATGAGGAGGAATTTTGATCTAATTATTTAGTCATATTGTCCAACTGTTTAGTAGAAGGTTTAAATAATTCATCTGTTAATCTTTTGAATATTTTTGCCATAAATTTCAGGTGTTGGTAATGACTTCTCGTGCTTTGCTGTGTCTGAATTAATAACAATATTTTGGATTTGCTTGATACTTGAATGGTAAAAATATAGCAGCAGTGAGGAAGTGTGGGCACATTGACATTCCTCTCTCTATCTGGTAATGAAATTGCTTAGCGCTATTGCATCCTTTCAAGCATCACACAGTGCTCGCTCATATGGATTTAATCCTGTTGAGAGGGGCTGTTGCTCAGGGCATTCGGCACAATGCCAGTTTGAAAGTAATCCATTGAGTCTCAAATAAGTTGGCCTATTTCTAATAAATATCCACCTTGGTCCATTAAAAAGTCATGTAGTTAATACCTTGAAGAGGTACAATCTAAAGTCAATAGAGTTCCTTAAATGTTCCATATTATGCTATTTTCAGATCTGTATGTATATTCTCTCTATGTATATTTTCTCATCATAAACATTCCTGGAGTTTTGTTTTGTTTCATTAACACACAGACCCTGCATATTTAGGGGTTTTAGGAGTTCTTCTCTCACACAGAAAACATTCTGTTCCACCTTCTGATTTCATGTGGTAATACAGGAAGTACTCCACTATGTTTTTAAAATTCATACACTTTCACTAGAATCATTTGGATCATTTCAGCCCTGAAGTTCCCCATCTCTGCTGAAGAAAAGGTAAAAGGTCGCCGTTAACTTGAAACTACTATGTAGATGTAGACAGACTAATAATAAAGGGTTACTCAAACATGTGTCAATGAAATAGCACAACTCCAGGTTTTTGAGGAGGTATCAACATTATAACATGCCTTAGAGCTCACAAGACAATTTTGCATAATATAGGACTTTATAACAAACTGTGTAAAACCTTACACATATTTGAGACAGGTATTAGGTTATATGGACTTGAACTGGGCATAAACATTTGCCAATTAAGTTGAGTCATTTGATGTTGATGAGTTTATATAAGCTATATTAAAGCTATATTAAATTCAAACTACCCTTAGAACATTTCACTAAGGAATGCTTACCTCTGATCTTTTAATCCATGTGTGAGTTATCTTATTAAATTTACAAATATAGAACATTTAATTTCTCGTGCATAACCCTACATCATTTTAAAATGTGCCCTGAACTGTAACAGCCAGTTCAGTTAGACATAGACAATAAGGTAAAGGGAGTAGCATGAGTCCTGCTGTTGACATAGCAGATGACATGGTGACTAGATATAACTATGTATTATAACTCTTCATCGTCTACTCTGAATATCTCTTATCATAACTGCCTTTTTATCAGACCTATAACCTATCTCTATAATCTCTGTTTTTCTCATTGTAAACATAAGCAGCTGCCTTTTATATAATATGACTTTTATACAACATCCTGCATTTCACTCAGTATTTGGACACCTATCTATCAGAAACTTTTTTCACATTTTGCGCTATGCCAGTTTGAACCACAGAGGATAGCTTTTCCAACCCACCTGTCAACTGCTCAATGTTTATTTTTTTATATTTTTTGACAGGCTTTTGGTTGATACAGACCAGTGCTGACTGGGAACATGCCACTAAAGCAAATTTTTTGACCCCTATAATAACAGTTTGTGCTGTCACTCAAACCATTTGCTGATTTTCACTTTCTCATCAACATGAAAAGAAAATACTTGAACTTTGTCTTTGATACTTCCCAGTAATTATCTTGTCACACTGCTATTTGGATGCTGTTCATTTGTTTGTATTAGTCTTGCTGCTACAGACTATACACCTTATACTATACATTTTAATCATTTTAATCATCTTCCAAAAATATGCTGTAACCATAGAAACATATACCCAAGGGAGTTGAGTCCCAATTTCAGCTCCTGTGAAAATACTACAGTGGAGCACATCAGCTGACACGATGTCAGGCCACGTGTCATTAAAGTTTGACAGTGTGTAATTATTTTGTGCTAATTAATACTTTCCATCATTGTAACTCGCTCGTTATTCTAGGCTGCTATAGCTGATCAGCTGCACTTGTCTTTGTATCAAAAGGCTTCCAAAACTTGTCGAGTGTTGGAATAGACCTACATGTCAATAAAAATAACAAGTTTTAGGAAGACAGGCAGTAATTTGAACTACTATAGTATTTAGAGTTGTTGTTTTTTTTTGTTTTTTGTTTTTTTGTTTTTTGTTTTTATGTAAGCCCTCAATCCAAATCAATCATCTGGTGTATTCGGTTTAAACTTGAAGATGTTTGGCCGTCATCCAGGAATTGTTCTGAGTACAGTTATAGGGTGCGTTCAGACTTCACATTCACTACATCAAAAGTGGGACTAAACCCAAAACTAAATGTTGACTAGACCAGGAGTAAACAAGGACTAGAACAGGACCAAACCAAGTTCATATTGGGACTAAACTAAGCTCAATTTTGGACCAAGTGTGAAACGCCCCCAGTCTAAGTTCTGTATCTTAAAACAGTGAAATTGGAATGTGGATCCACCTTATTTTTTTTTCACTATAAAAAATGTGATTTAAAACATTACTACAATAATTAAAACATTTTCTTGTTTCTATAGATTTTGTGCACATTCTTAGACTTAGACAAACTTTATTGATCCACAAGGGAAATTATTTGGACACATCTCACACATTACACATCAATATATTATAAAAACAAAGAGCAAAATATAATAGGTAATAAATATATTCAAATTCAATAAGTAGCAAAAATAACAAGAGATTGGTGTTGATTAAGGCGTAATTATACAAATTTATATGTACAAGAAGAAAAAAAAGGTTGAAGTCTGGCAGAATGACTTTACCGTATTACCTGCCATGCACAGAACATTGTTAAAGGATTTTTCTAATTGGAAATTGTCATGGCTCTTATTGTACCAGTGTTTCTGTGCATGGTTGTTGACAGGGCATACATTTAATTTTAATATCATGATAAATGCAGTCACTACAATCTGAAAAAGATTATGACTTCAAGTGTGAAATGCATGTCTCCAGCTGAAGGACCATGGATTAATTCAATTACCACAACAGAGCCACACACATTTGCATAGCAGGGTAATATCTTGCATATAAAAGAAACAACACATTACAAGCTTGGGAGAGATTGTGGCAGCCTTTTGAAGTCGCCCGCTCCGGTTGGATGATGGAAGTGACAAGGTTATTTTGGGACGAAGAAAATGCATTGTGATTAACGGCACCAAAGTCAGTGTTCAGATAAGTGTAGCAAGAAAGTGGATAGTCCATTTGATGCGATACCTTTAAATGAGTGCTCCTTTCATAGATGTGTTATAGCACCCAGGTCGGGTTTATCATGCGCACTCACTGCTCAGAATAACACCTTAAATCACGTTAAGAGCCGCGTCATTCGTGACTCTGGCTCCCATAAAGTACTCCTACAGCCAGCTGATGGGCGAGAACCAGGATCTATTTTAGGCACTAAACTTTAAAGTCACGTTTAACGACAAGGTTCAGATAAAATGTTTGGCCATTTAATATTTACTCATAATGTCCCCTGTAGTTAGCATCCAGGTAATGTCTATTAGTACTGCGCGTCACAAGTTATACAGATAAAGTAATTTTGTTTTCTATCTAGTTGGCTTACAATTGATTTAAAATTTGCTCAGTAACGTAGTGTAGACTTCACTGTTTTGAGAGAAAATATAAATCGACAGTGGCCTGGCTTCCATTCTAGTCTACCCAGAGCAGATGTGTAGGCTGATTCACTTTTTGCATTCACTTTTGTATTTTGTTTATCGTGAATGTCACTGTATAAATCCAAGGTATTACTGTTATTAAGAATAATATTTTTGGTTTCTGTATTACATTACATTTATTTTGAGAATAATATCTGAGACAACAGGAAGACAGAAGCTTTGATTTCCCCTTCCCAAAAACATATATTCGTTTTGTCAGTTTTTGCTTTTGGTGTCTGGTCTGTCATTTTGAAAAATTACTCATCTGTCTTTTGAGATTTTTAATTAATCTATTTTCATTTTTTGCGCATTCCATTTAATATTGTGTTTTACCTTGATTTTTAAAAAGTAAAAATCACGTATGTAATTATTCCAAACTGTATGTTGTTCTGACATCTGTCTGTCTCTCTTTCACTAGATCCAGAATGCAGATGATGTTTTGATTACTCCCTTGGAAAAATTTAGAAAGGAGCAAATTGGTGTGGCGAAGGTAAGAGACCACCTACACACGCAATTAGCATAGGAACAGTGGGGGAGATTTCATGTTCTCTCTTCTCTCTCTCCTCCTCACCCCTCCATGGCTCCTTCAGTGTGCAGTGATTAATTCTAAGTTATTTGTAGCATAAAGAAATGCTCCATATGTAATGAGAGCCTTACATAAATGTTCTTTGCATGTTTGATTCAAGGGATATTACTGGTGTTGCCAGTGCCAACGCTGCCTTTAGGTGGCATTTCTGGTGTACTTAATGTATAAGCAATTAGCATCACAAGTGCATAACCATACATACTTTAGAAATTCTTCATAGTATGACTGATTATATAAGTAGATCTACAGTGCATATTAGGGATGGGCATTAGATGAAATTTTCTTAATCGATCGTCGGAAGAATTAACGATCGATTATCGATTAATCATTAACGTTTTTATATTAAAATGATCATCATTATTATTACTATCTGCACTACTAAAACCGTATCGCTAATTTGCATAAACTCAGCGAAGATAAAACTACAGCTCTTGTGTCACTGATGAGGTCAATTTCTGTCGGATTAAAAGACATGACTCAGTGGAATACAGGTTAGTGTGATCATATTTGCAAAACCAGGACACCGAGGAAGGTGGGGACTCGTCATCGATATTGCGCGACTCTCACCTGGTAAAGCTTTTTCCCACTGGACACCGAAACATATGTTCCTACTTTGTACACTGTGCACATGGACTCACACTTGTCCCGAACGCACCGGAAAGCGTGGACTTTCTTGTAGAAGTCATCATTAAATACGCATTTGTGCTTCGGCACGCTGCAGACTGACCAAATGTTTGTGTTTGCTCGCTCCTTCTGAGTGCAGAGAGACACATGTACAGACCCCTGTTTGGTCACGCTACGCACAGCAACCTACATTCGGTTTGTTGATTAAAATTAACGTAATCGACGAAATTCTTAATGATCAATTATCGATTAATCGATTAATCATGCCCATCCCTAGTGCATATACACAGGTTACACAATTCGTCAATCAATGTTTTAAAGGTCCCATATTATGCAAAATTGATGATGAGCATGTTTTTTGGGGGGTTTTTTTCCACACATGTTTGAGTAATCCTTTATTATTAGTCTGACTACATTTCCAATAAAGCAGTAGTTTTCAACTGAACAGCTACCCTTTGCTTTTAATTCAGTAGAGATTGGCAATTCCAGGGCTGAAATTAATCCAAATGATTCTAGTGAAAGTATATGGAGTTTAAAAACACAAGTGGAATGCTTCCTGTATTTCTGCATCACAAGGTGGAGTGTTTTTTTGGTTTGGGAGAAGTACTCAGCCTAAATATGCAGGTATGTTTTTGATGAGGAAACAACATTATAATATATAGATTTAAAAATGAACCTTTAAATACACTGAATAAACTAGCCAGACAAGACACCTTTATATTTGTGTTGGCTGCAAACCCAGATAGATGTAGCAAGTTGTGAAAATATATATAGTTAAAAAAACAACTATCTAGTGTACTACTGTTGCTCTGTTCATTTGCTGTTTGTCAATGTAAGTCATAATTAAGAGTTTTGTATAGATTGTGTTGATGGTGCAAATGAGACACAGGAAAAGTGCCAAATGACAATGCCAACTCTATAAGGGGCTTAAGAATGTGTAACAAGATAGAGAGGTGAAAAATGAATCTCATTTCATTCTGTTTTGTGTTGTCAGTCAGTGGTGTTTGTTCTGCAGTATGATATACTGTAGAATTGTAATAGCTGTTATTATTGCTGGTAATGGAGCTCGTCAGTGACTGTCCAACCCCCAGTTCTGGAAGTAAATTTCTCATTCATTTTTCCCATAAACATTTTGGAAAACAAAATAAAAAAATATAAAAATAAAACTTTGCAAGCTTGCTCAGGGCTAATCAGCTACAAGACCACAAGTATAATTTTATTTAAAATATATTTCTCAAACAAAGCATTTTGCTGAATCTTGCGTTTTATATGTGCTTTTGGGTTTTAAAACAACCGCATTTGGGCCTTTGAACTATTAATACTTGAGTTTTTGTATAAGAAAAATGAATGGAAAATGTACTTCTGACAGTCACTGTTGAGCTGCACATGGTCTAAATAGTTTTGTAAAGTGTTCCTTTGTTTCTCACTGTGTATTGTCTGGTGTTTAAAATGGTAAAAAGGGTTGTTATGTTGTCTCTAAGGGCACCATTGGTCCTGTTGACAATGAATACTAAAATAGATTAGTGCTGTCTTAATATTATTGCTATCCATTAAACATATCTAAAGTTGTGCTATGTAACTTTTCTGGTAGATGGTCCACCCAATTCTTATCACAGTGAAAATGCATGATTTCAAGGTATTTTTCAACCATAAAAACACAATGCACCTTTAATGTACTGTAAAAACTATGTATATATCTAGCTCCTATTTACCTTCACTGCAGTACTCCACAAGGCACCTCCCTGCTCGGACTACTGCATCTGAACTGTTCTCAATAGTTGCTGTGTAGTAGGTGCTTAGGGGCTCCGTAGTTCCACAGTGGGTGCATGCTGGAGCAGGAGCTGACTACAGAGAGCAGTGTGGGCTCATAGCTACCAGCCATGCTTTCATTCACGGCCAAAGCAGAAGAGTCAAATAAAAGTAGAGTTGCCAGCTTGTGGTCATTCCCTGGGTGAGATCACACAAGAACACGCAAATCCCTCCCACCAACTTTCTGGTTCTTTGTCTATAAGCCACACTGTTGGAGTTTTGTATGAATCATGCACAGATTTTCTTAGTATCAACTATGTAAGGTGGTCCTGTCCATTAAAGTCACTTATAAAATGTTCAGTTTGGAAATGATTGATACCTTGTACTAATATGCAAAACTCAGTGCATTAGCACTCTCTTCATCATTACTAACTACAAATTCAAACTAGAAACTATGTAATGTAAGACTTTTGCAAAACATATACTTTCTCAGATTGTTTGATTTAACTATCAGTTTCTGTTTAGACCACAGGAACTAAAATCTAAACCTAAATAAAGTTAGACAGTTTTGTGTCTCTATCAAATGAAATGCTGCAGCTTGTGTTATTGATTTCAAAGTAATATTTAGGCTTGGTAAAATAATTTATCTAACCCAGATCGATATTCAAACTAGTATGTATACTCATTTGAACATGCAGTGACATCACACTGGGGGTTTTCTACATGTATTTCTATGGTGGATTGTTTCTGTTGTTACCATAGTGACACATATGAGCAAACACAGCCAAAAAGGTTTGAAAGATAGTCTGAAGTCAAGAAAAAGGAACAACACCACTAATGCTAGCTAGGTTGTGACTGCTATTTTATGTGTAAGAGACTTTTTAACAGCAGAAATTAAAAGTCTAACAAGCGTCAGATAGAGCAGTGCTTACAATTAGCACCGCATCCCCATCAGCTACAATGTATCAAAAATGGAAAAATAATATAAATAGGACCTGTATAGTTTTATAATGGCTGTGATCTTTATCAGATGTAAATGGCTTTTATTCACTAGGATCACTATTGAGCTTTTAGGATTAATATTGAGTTTGAAATTTTAGTACCATGACACCACTGGTATGATCACAGCATTAAGTTAATGCAGCCAGACTCTGACAGCGGACTGGACACAGAACACTGCTGCTTTATTCTGTCCATAATTAAATCAAACATTTTACTGTCTGTCCCTCAGTTCCCAGCGTTGCATCTCATTTCTCCTGTTTACAGCACGGTTCCTTAAAAGCCACAACCCCAGTTACTCCCACTACCTCTTCACTTCCTCCGACCACTTCCCCCTAATTGCTCACTCTCCTTTAGCGGCCCATCCCCCGCTGAACATTAACTCAACCAAAGAGAAAGAGGGAGAGATAAAAGGCAGACATCACGAGTGACTGAGCAACTTTCCACAGTTCGGGGAAACTTGAGATTTGCTGCCGCCTGACCCAGTCCAGTTTTTGTGCTTCGTGCTTCTTCCAGCGTCACTGCCAAACGGGGAGGCTGCCCTTATTTGGGTATGCCGAGAATAATCCCGCTGAGGTCATGGAGCAGCAAAACAGCTTTTAGGCACAAGTACAACATTTCTACATTGTAACAGATTGAACACAGGACCATTTAGGCTCACTCTGCTTCACACAAGGCTAAACCAACTGTTTGGAAGAGAAAGCTTGTAATCTGTGGAACAAATGCAAAAGGAGAGTGAACAACAATAGAATGTGCTCTGCCATATGTGCCTATACTCACAAGCATGGGTCTGAAATGATCCTTGTATACATCCTGATAATTCCTTCAGTGTATATATGTCCAAATAATAACAAATTGCTAAATTAACGATAATATTGGGACTAATTCATGCCACTGACTAGGGGTATGCAAAAATATCAAAATATCGATATATCATGATTCTAAATTTGGTGATACAGCATCGTTATCATGGGCTGAGAGTATTTGTTCCTTAAATATTTTTGGTTATTTTTTTATATTTGTTTGTGACTGCACTACAATTTTGTTGCTTATTTACTTGAAGGAAACTTGTTCATGCCATATACTTGACACTGTTTTGATTATTAACGTTTATGTATTTCATATTCATTTTGTACAAGTATTGGTTTAAAATTTAAAATTAAAAAAATCTAAAATGTTCTAAAATGTATTTGGTTTTAAACACAGTATCATGTGCAATGTATCGATTATCTCTTGTAATACTATATTGAGATAATACTGCATTGTGAGCCGTGTGTCGTGAGTCATATTGAATCATGAGGAAGCCTGTGATTCCCAGCTGTACCACTGACCAGAGATGGGGATTTGCAAGTCTTGACTTGGACTCGAGTCAGACTTGAGTCACTATTTTTAGGACTTGAGGCTTGACTTGAAAAAATTGACAAAGACTTGGGACTCGACTTGAACTTGAAGGCCAATGACTTGGGAGTTAACTCGGACTTGAGCTCTGTGACTTGAGAAAACTTGATGCTTCTCCTAAAAGAATATATGTT